TTCACCTCACTCACAAGTGTGGGGACGTAATCCATCCACCAAGACCATGCCGGTGAACGAAAGCTGCACGTCGAAGGAAGGCAGGCTGGCTTTGACGCTGCAGAGCCAACGAAAACGAAACTGTGTGCCTCTCTCGAGTGTCCTTGCCTTCACGTTGCTTGCACATGGCGGAAGTGTGTTCGCTCCTCGAGTTTTCTTCTTTGTTGAACCATTAGGGACGCGTGTACTCGTCGGGACTTCGTCGCGACGGTCCAGCCACCCCTCGCGTTCGCTTCGCTCACGTAAACAAGCACAACGCCAGCGTACTTCCCCGATTCGCTAAAAACAACCATCCGACTCTCGCGTAGCATTGTCACTTGCGTATTTTGTTTCTTTTACCATCCAAACCAGATGGCGCTGCGCAGTTAACGGCTCGAAAACCGGAGCCTTGCTTTAGGTTCGTTAGATGACGCCACTATTCATTCATTTGTTTTTAATTTTTTTTTTAGTTTTTACTTTTTGTTTAAATTAATTGATTTGATTTTACATTACGTCGTCTCGTCATATAAACAGCAAATATTTAAACAATTTAGGCGCGCCTCCGCATCTATTTGGGCGCCGACCACCTGGCGGCGCTACTTATTTTCCAAATTCTGTTTACAAAGTATGACGGCGTTTTCATCTATCTAGCGGTCTCCTACATTTTTTTTATTTTTTTTTTATTATTATTATTATTTTTTTTTTTTTTGCTTTTGTTTTGCGTTGTTCCTGCGGAGTGATAGTTCTTGGTTCTTGGTGAGCTCGGACGCTTTCCAACGCGTTAAGATTCTGGAGTGCAAACTTGTAAGAAACCTTTGCAACCGTGAGTAGTATGCAGTCGGCGCTGCTTGCACGCGATGTATTTAGGGAGGCTGTAGTGAGGGTGGGCGCAACTCAAAACCTGGAGAGCGTTTGCAATTTAATGGCGGCGCCTGAGGGAGAGGATTCGAGAAAGGATATGCGCCAGTGTTGCCTGCACAAGAGCAGGCGCCCGCTCTGTTGCAACTCTGTTGCTCCATGCGCCTTTCCTCCTCTCGCCTCCCATTGCAAGCAACGAGCGCCTTGGCGCAGCCTCTCTCGCTTCCTTCTCGCTCCGAGAATTGCAAACGTCGAGCGGAGAAAGCAGGGTTGCCAGACAAGCAGCAACGTCCAAGATGGCGGAATTTACCATTTTTCGCGTTAAAAAAATACTTAACCTATCGCAACAAAACTGGTGGCTATGGAAAAGTAATCATTTATACCTTGCGTAAATTATTCAAGCACCTTAATGGGCTTTTATGACCCGAGTTAGGAAAGAAAACGACCCTTTGCCCCATAGACTCCCAGCAAAATTTAGCAATTAAATGGCGTCCATGTCCCGTGATCGCCGATCTAGCAGTTGCACCCACCCTCACTTGAGCCTCCCTAGATGTATTTTCGACGCGTTTTGTCCGTCTTATTGCCCGCGTGCGTTGGCGTACCTGGTTTCTGAAAGTGTGCGCGTCTCCCAGGTGCATCTTAAACCATGCGTGGTCATTGCATGTTTTCGCTTGAGGAGATATCCATTTCCACCAGTGAGTAGTGTTCATTCGCCGCCGCTTCATCGCGATGTGCTTTTGACGTCTTTTTGCTTCTCTGTGCCGCCCGCCCTCCGTGCTTTCCGAAGGTGAGCGCATGGTTTTGCTTTGCAGTGCGCGCTCTGCAGCGTGGTGTTGTGGCGTGGTTCCGGTGAAAGTGCCTGTGGGTGACCTTGCGTGCGTCCGTAATTCCCTGCCTTCGGCCTACTCAGCGTGGACGTCATTTCTGTCCTGTGACCTGCTGCTCAGTGCTCAGTGCTGTGCTTGTGCAAGGCCTCTGGTGTGGGTGCCGTGTCCTACGTATCGCCCAACTAGGTTCTACTTGTGCCCCTTATTAATTCATTAATATGTGTCGTGTGTGTGTGTGCTCTTTGAGCAGTTTCCGTTCTTGTGC